TCTTCGTGCCGGCTCCGGAGCTGACGGCCTCCTGAGCTGGGGAGGGCGGTTTGCGTCTCTTTGAGTTGCTGTTTCAGAGTTTGGAACGGCACTTCTGGGTCAATTTAGTTTTCGTTTGTGACTTTTACGTGGTGTTTTTCTTTTTTCCTATCTATAATCAACATAAGCACTATTTATAAGCAGTTTGTTTATAAACAAGTTATATTTGTCTTTTCAAAAGAGAATTTTTGACCAGTAGGGACCAAGGAAGACCAAGAGAGGGTGCTTTCTTACCCGTGGAGATAGCTGCTGATCTTTACAATACACGTGTGAACATATCTATTGCCATGTGTAGCCTGAATCCTTTTGCGAGCCACACCTGAAAGTAGCAATGTTATTGTATATTTGAAGAATACAGTTTTCCGTCTATCGTTAACTTTTGAAATCGTGGGGAGGCAGAATGTCTGCCTGCCTCACGGTTCAAGTGAAAGGTAGAAATATTCTTAGAGGTGGTTTAAATGAACTATCTGCCATTGATAGAAGTAAGCTCTTAGTAAAAGCACATGCATGGTTTTGCTCACTTACTTACGCAGAGCTCTGTGAAGAAACAAAACATTTTTTGTCTCCAGCGATTCTAAACCCACTCTGAAGTGGTATTGTATTCATCTGAAGCGGCAGATGGGCAGTTCCAGGTGACTGTGTGATGAGAGCATAATAAATGCACAGGACTGGCAGCTGAAGTGCTGTTTCACTGGTAGCGTTCCCCAGGAGTTTTCCATTCAAACTGAGGAATCTTTTCACTACTGCTGTTCAGCACCTTGTGGCAAGACCTCTTGGATTTTCAAGCATTTTTGAGTTTTGATGTATGCTCCTGCTGATTCCGGCCTCTCACACAGGAGCTGCCACTCACTGAATCTCCTGCTGGCTCTAGGAATCCTGTGCTTCAAGTGTGGTTTATTTTGCACGAGCAGTAGCTATGCTGTGGTGGGCTGCTTTTCCTCCCGTCCCCCCTAGATGATGCTGTAATAGAGGCTTCTTCCAGCCATCCTGATGGCCTGGGAGCAAACACTTGCAATAATAGATTTATTGTAAGATCTTGGAAAAATGAAGAAGTGATTGGGTCATGGAATGGAAGGATAAAATGTACCTAGTGCTATTTCGAGCACCTCGGAAGACTAAATCGTCAAGGTTCCTCTCCTTTGTTGGCTACTTGTTCTGCTTACTTGTTGAAACATGCCTATGTCTATATGTTTTCAGCTCTAAATAGCCTACCTCTCACATCTGGTTCACAGCTGGTCTTACACACATGCATACTTAGCGTCTCGTTTACTGTGCAGGACAGAAGTTTTGCTCTTGTTGCTGGGATCATCAGACAGGAGGAGTGTCGAAAATAATGGACTATATCTTTGAAATATTGCATCTCGTGGTTAGTGTGAGATGTTGACATTTGACTTATTTCCATCGCTTTCCCCCATCAAAAAAACAAACAAACAAAAAACCAGGAGGTGGGGGAGGAAAGATTTTATTTCCTCACTCTTGGACATCTAGGGCTGTTTGGCCTTCAGTTCTCCAGGGAAAAAAAATTACATGTTTGTGAGTCAGCTGGCTGAAAGTGAAAACTTGCTTTCTTTTTTAGAAACAATGTGATTCAGGTTCTGTGCAAGGGTTGGTAGCAGTTTGAAAAGAAATCAGTGTCAGTTCAAGCTAAGGGTGCCGTTTGTATTTTCACTAGCTAGAAGTTACTCTGTCCATGCGGCAAGGGAGGGATGTTTTCCTTCGTTTGTTTTGTGGTGGTTGAATGAATAATTGGATACTTAGAATTTTAAGGGTAGGAATAAGCACTGCTGGACCAAGCTTGAAGGAGAGAAGAGTAAAACAGGAAGAAGGAATGAGGGGAGTGAGACAGAGCAAAATCTGTAAAAGTGTTAGAGTGAAATAGAGATGGTAAGGAAATGGTAAATTGTTGAAAAGAAAAACTGAGGAAGGCAAGATTGGTTATAAGAAGATAATAATAGAGAGTGATTTTAATGAACTAGGCAAACTAGGAAAACAATCTGAAAAGAAATTGGAAGCGGGGACAATGTGACATGAAAATAAACAGCAATTATTAATAGCAGTTGGCTCTTTCATTTGGATTACAGGAGGGAACATACATACACACAGCAGCCTTGTGCATCTAGTTTTTAAATCAACGCACTCTTCCTGACCCAAAATGGTTGTCCATTAAAATAAACCAGCAGTACTAGTATGGATTGAAAAAAGTAATGTTATGATCCAGATATTTCTACTCTTGCTATACACAGGTTGGCTTAATATTGAAGTATGTAATGATGCTGGTTTGAGCTGGAACTACTCTGATTTGCTGCTGTTGAAAAAGGTTTTGGGCCTCTGGAAGCAAATCTTGGAGCTAGTCATGGGAAGGGAGGTCCTGAAAAATAGGTGTGCGGGAGGAGCAAAGCGGCAGAGGTGTTTTCTTTCTACCATCTGTTGCAGCTGGGACTAATGTATGGTAGTGGAAACATCCTGCCTTTTGCTTCTCCTCTTAACAACGGATGATGAAAGCAAAAGAGCAAATGCTCCACCTGATACGGGAATTTACAGGAGCTAAAACATAGGCTGGAATACAGAGTGGTGTCCTACCTGCTTTAAGATTTTTTTAAGATGCCAGAATTTTAAGCGTTGTGCCAATTCTGGATCTTGTTGTTATACAGGGGCTCAAAAACTTCTTCAGTGTTGACAAAAACGTTGCTGTCACTGTTCGGTCTTGCAAATGGAAAATTGCATCAGGCGTTGTGTGCAGATTGGCCTAGCTTCATAGATGCATGTCCAACATCAAAAAGTCTTGATAATTTTCTCTTTTTTTTAGTGAACAAAGCTTCACCAGTAGTTAGGAGTGGGGTGGAAGGACATCAGCATCATATGACAGGACTACTTCCTTTGTTTACAAAATACTTCCCCTCCCCATAAAGCTAGACTGTTCTCAGTGAGAAATTCTCTGTGTTGGGCAGTTACGTGGTTTTATGCTAGTTAAAGCATTTCGTTATTTAGCGTGGTGTTTCCTTTCATTTTGTCTGTCTTAAAGTTCTTGCCAGTAGGAATAGGACGTGACTGAGGGGTGAATGTTGCTGTACTTGGAGAACGGCATTGACGTTCTAGAAGGGAATGAGAGAAGGGATAGATACGTGATGGTTTTTGGAAAGTGGATTTGCCATTGGCTGGTACAGTTGGTATGTGACTGGAAATTCATGGCTTCAGAGTTCTGTGCTTGCGTCCCACTGAATTTTGGTTTTACACAAAATCACAGAATGGTGGGGGTTGGACCTCTGTGGATCACCTGGTCAAACCCCTCTGCCAAAGCAGGGTCACCTAGAACAGGTTGCACAGGACCTGTTTTTAGTTTTAGTTGCACAGGAACTTTTTATGGTGGTTGTTTTTTACAGCTATGATACTACACCTTGTCATCACTTTCTGAAAGCTTTCTTCTGTAGGATTTTAGTAAAAGAATTGTCATTGGTGGGACTTCTCTGCAAGTTTCTGTGTTGTCCTGATGAATAGTCAGTGTCAGTTAGAGCTGGCTATCATTGCTTGTTTTGTTTGACTTGTCTGCTACTATTTCATAAACATTGTTTGCTTTTTTTTCCTATTTACTTGGTATGTAGGTGTTTAGGAACAACATGTCATCAGTTTATACTGTCAGTTGTTGACATTGAAAAATAGAAGCAAGAAATTGTCTTGCCTCACTTGTGAGGTTTAGTTGCGTCTTCGTTTGTTTCCAAAACACCTTCCCGAATGTCCCATTGTATTTTGCAGTTAGAATACTGTGATTTTTCTGGTTGGTTTTTTTCTTTCTTTTACAACTGTCTTGATTGCTGTATGGTAGAACCCAAAGGCATTTTTTTGTGTCTGAAAGGAGGGATTTTGTAGCACCAGCCTTCAGTAGTGTATTGCTATTGAGAACAGCATATAAACATTTGCTTTGAAGTATTTAAGACAAATGTGTGAACCTGCCAAACTGGTTCTAGTGCAAAGTCTGCTATGAAAGTTGGTGGCCTGGTTGTCTTGGTAGAGGTGTGAAAGAACAAGGCCTTCATGATATCATACAATCCACTCATCTCTAGATTAACGTCTGAAATTTTACGAATGGAGCACAGTATTTTTTTAAAAACAGTCACTGATAGCGTATTTATTTTTTATATCTACAGTTCTACTGAACCATTATTTAACTTTTGTTATTTTTTTACATAGATTGTACTCAGCACATCCTTACAGGCAAAACTGTCTTGCAGAATCTTTTATGGCAAGCATGGCAGAGAACAGTTTTAGGATTGAAGGGAGTATTTGCATTGTAGAGGTACTTGAATATGCATTGACATAACTTCTCTACTTACTGTTGTGGAGAAGTTTGAACTGTTGCTCTAAGTATTTTGTGGATAAATGCTTGTTCTGTGAATAAATAGAGGTCTCTAGTCTGGTAATCCAACACCTTCCTTGAGCTCTAACATTTATTAGGAAAAAAAAAACCTAAAAACGAGTTAGTCAATGATTTTCTGCTATAAATTCCTCTGCATTCAAGAGCAGAGTGGAGAAAAACTGTTTAAGAGAACTTTGCCATGCTGTTGTTTACTTGCTGCCCTTACTGGTTGGCTGTTAATTGAATGTATGCTGTTTATTTTTACTAACACCCATAGAATCCCTCGGGGAATATTGAGTGTCACAGAGTGATAAAGCTAATATTTACTGAGCCCTTAAAACAAGAAGGGAGTGGTTGCTTGTTTAATGGCAATCTAAATTAGCATGTTGGAGAATATAGAATACTATGATACAGTCAGATGATATTTTAATCTGTACTCTGGGTATTGGTTACTTATCCAAAAAGGAAAATTTCAAGAAGATGATATGGTGTATTCCTGCAATGTTCTTACTCTTATCTACATCTTTAAGGTCATGACAGATTAAAAATAAAGTCTTTGTAAACTTATTGTGATTAAAAGAATCAGTTCTACTGACTTTTTTAGTACTACAGTCTAAATCTGTATTGAATTTTATTTTCTGCGTGTTGTTAGTATTACTGTCACATAGCTGCAGGAAGAAGAATCTTCTCATGATTTGTATTCCGTGAGCTTCATACTTTCCACAGGGATATAAATATATAAGCATACTCATGATATTTCTAGTTTACTTGATTTTTTTCCCCCCATTTATTTATTTTTAACCCTCTCAGGGCTTGAGTTCAGTGAAGTAAACAAAAAAGTTGCCATAGTCTTTGCTTTTCTTGGATTATTTCCTAAACATATATTCTGGTATCAAAATATCATTTTATATATATATATATATATGAGACAATGATGGGAATATAAATGTGATACAGAAACAAGAAAACAGTACATCTTGTGTTACTTCCCAGGTAATCTAATAGTTTATTAAATGTTTACCTATTCGTGCTAGAGCTTTAATGCTGGAGCTCTGGTGATCATAATTTTCATGCAAAAAGAGTAAGTTACCTTTTCTTCCGGTCTACATTAGACATTATTAGTATATTTTAGATCTTTGTTATAACCTTTCTATTAATAGAACTTGTCTGTTCTCATTTTTCAGAACTGTTGACATTATTTTGCTGTTGCATTTTAAAATACAACTGCTCTAACAGCAATTTCTAATAACAATTGATGTGAGTTATCTCTTTGGGTCTTCCTGAACGGAAAGCTGGCAATAAAAATTCTTTCTTGCTCATTTTGAGTTTTCTCAGACAGTGTAAGGGTTTTGTGAGTCTGTAAGGCTTTTTTTCCCCCCCTATATATGTGAGTGCTGATTTAGGGTTTTTTTTTCTGCAATTACTTTGTTTTTATATTTTCAGATGTCACTTTAACAAGAGATTTGGAAGTGTACACTGCTAATTTGATGTAGGATGTATTTCAACTATGTGACATTCATTTTTAATATAGTATTTATTTTTTTTCTGTAATACAAACTTTTGTATTCTTTATAATTGCACTTTTCTCCTTTATTTTTAAACATAGTTTGTGGGGCTTTTTCTTTCCTTTTTCCTTTTTTTTTTTTTTCCCCCTTGCAATGAGAACTTAAAGTGCTAGTGAAAGAATATAAATGCCTTTCTTCATTACTTTATGTGGGTTAGTTGTGTATCGTTTTAGCAGTACGTAGTAAAAGCTGATTCTTTATTAGGTCAGCAGTGTATTGATCTACTTTCATAAATTTACAAAATATAGATTGAGGAAAGAAGTTTTCGGAGTTCTGCTTAAAGGAATGGTAATGCAAATGCACATTCTTAACATGAATTTATTTTTTTCTGTGCACAAGAAGGTACTCTTCCTATCTTAGATGTTATGTAATCCCTGATCCTGAGACCGATGTACAGTGGCAGGAGTCCTGCCACACTTCGGAGCCCCTGTGGGACTCTGCATTGTTCTCTCTGTTCCCTCCTAGACAGTTGGTCCGGGATCATGGTGTTCTGTACCAGGGAAGGACCCTTGTTTTGGAAACGAATGCTTTTTAAAAATAATAAGCTCTTAAGGTATGGATAGTGACACTTAGATTTGTGTCAGTTTGAGCGTACTAATGATGCCTCTTTCAGATCTGTGTAATATTTTGTAATGACTATCACAGGATTTGTGAAATACAAAGGAAATATGCACCTTGCTTCTTTTTGCATAAATTCATAGCCTTTGTCATGTCCTCTTGTTAGGTTGAAGTTCGTTGGAAAGCTTGTCAATCCAAATCCATGAATAGTATTAGCATGCATCGATTTAAAAAGTGCTTAACTGTATTTCATACTTCTGGTTTAACATCATGTTTTTTGCTGTTTAAAAATGACAACTTAATTTGGTATTGTTCTGTTTTAGACATCCTTAGCGACACGTTTTGCCCAAGAAACATTTGGAAAACAGTACAAACAAACCATAGGACTGGACTTCTTCTTGAAAAGGATAATCTTGCCAGGTAAGAGAATAAAAACTAATACTGAAAGGCTGGGCAGCAGTAAGACTTGCAGAAACAGATTCTTCAAAGTAATGTGTACTAAATAAGCTTAGTGCAGTGCTTTTTATGGCAAAATACATTAGGTTATTCAGAGAAAATTTTGTTAGTGTGTTCTTGCCAGGTGACAAAGGGTAATGCATTTGCAGCTTATATCTTGAAGTAAAACACTGAATTAAAATAAAAGGAATGCTATCTAATATTCATGGTTTTTATTATCTCCGCTTGAGTGTACTCGCTGTCTGTGTGGATAGTGTAACATACAACAATGAAATGGAACTTTAAATATATTTATTGAAAAAATAGATGTGTTTTGAAAGAAATAGATTTTTTTCTTTTAATTTAGTGAAATACACAACTTGTGTCTGAGTTGTGTGAGAGAAGCATAATACAGCTATGGAATCGCAGTGCTTTAATATGTGAATGCTGTTTTATGCAAGGCAGCATGAAATTGCTGGCATTTAATAGACCACTAAAATTTAGGGTCCCTCGGCACTCATAAAAATACAGTTTGAGCATTCAAGATGTTTCACTTCACGACAGCAAAGAAACTATTTAGATGCCAGTTGCAGCACATTGCATGGAAAATGCGAAGAAATACTTAAAGAATAGTTGCTGGTAGAAGTTTGTCTCTGAACAATTAAGGGTTTGAAAAAGTCTTTTCATTGGTTTGTGGTTGCTCGATTTCTAAGTATTTCATTAAATGCGTTTTCTTCTGGCTTCAGAAATCAGAACGAGTTAGAAAAAGTATGTGTAATTATTAAAAGCTGTAGTGAGATTTGATAAAGGTGATGCAAGTTCTGTCGTTTGGTCTTTTCTCTTTGTGGAGGGCGGGGAGGGAAGCAAACCCAGAAATGAAGCATTTTAGCTATAACCTGAAGTTATAAGAAAATATGTACAGTTCTTGAACTTGTTAAAATTATATTGCCAGTAGTTTCTTAAGTGAAACAGAGTAATCTTTTCAGACTCTTCCTGCATTTGCTATTTTGGTTTGGCCATTTTGCTATACTTTTTAGTATCTGGTGAGTGATAAAGTACTAAATTTCAGCGCGTATTTCCCCACAAAATCAACAGAATAATTTTTTTATTGTCCTGCTCATGCCTCTAAAAATACAAGTGTGCATAATACTTAACACCAGTACTTGCAAGTAGAATGTGTACACAAATCATGCAGTGTGCATGCTGAGAACTTGTATTTTACAATTTTTTTTCCAGCTGTTAAGCATACAGAAGCTATTAGTACATTACTGGGATTCTAAATATTCTTGTTGAGTAGAAAATTTGGAAAATTATCAACTATTGATTCATTCATGTTTTATTTTCTTCTAGTTTACTTTGTAATAAAATCAGAATATAGATAAAAATAGCACCAAAACAACAAAGTCTGTTTTCCTCATTTATCATTAAAAAAATAGTAACTTTTGTGGAATGTATTTATCTGTAGATTTTCATTCTGTTTTTGCCTATGCCTGTATATGTGTTTAGGTATATATGGATTTCTGTGTCTTATAGGTAAGCTGAACTGGTGGTGGGGAGTGAGAGGGAAGGAAAAGGAAGAGGGAGGGAGGTAAAATTTCTAAATACTGGAATGGGAAGCATTACTTAAGTAAGCGGATTTTTCCAATTTCTTGATTAGTTCTGGGTTGCAGAGCTGCTGTGTTTACTTGAAAGGTTAATTCATACCACTGCACAGAAAGTATAATGTGTATATCAGTAGGAAAAAAAGCCTTGATTTCTCTTTATTTAGTAGGAGAATTGATGAATAACTATGGCTCAGTAGTTGATTTTTTTCTTCTTCTTTAAATGTAAGCAAAGATTTCAGAAGTTAAAATTACTGATTTCTAGAATTGTATAGAAGTTTACATTAAACCACATTAGAAATGCATTTTAGCTTGTAAAATATAGTGGGTTTTTTTTCTTTTTAAAAATAAACATAGTATTTGTCTCCAGTTGTTTTAGTAACTGATGCAGTTTTGCAGTGAAAAAAGTAAATATTTTACGTGGTAAAACAATATGGTTTAATAAAAATAGTACATCTCTTTTGATTAATTTTGAACAATGTGACTTTTACTGTTCAACTGTTGACAAATTCTCTTCACGCGGTTTGTTCAAAATACTTTTTTCAACTATAAATCCATTTCAGTGTATTTATTGATGCAGTATCTTGTATAGTCTGGATGCAACCACGGTGTAGGTTTTACTGCTTAAATAGTTTATCTGTCAGTCAGAGGGTCTGCTGATAGAGATTCTTAAGAGCCAGTTGAATACTTTTAGGAAGGTTCTGAGTGCAGTCCAGTAAACAGGATTCTTCTGTTAAAAGGATATTTTTTTTTTGTCGTCAGTGCAAAAAGTGGTCAGACTCGTGTTTCTAGTTCCATCTTGACTGTGCAGCACTCTAAGTAAGGTTAACCAACGCACCAGGTATACTTCTGCAGGATCACTGCTGAATCAGCCCAGTGGCTTCAGTTCATACCAGAAACGATGTAGATACCTGCACTGCATTGCCTCAATTATTTTAACTTTGCGCTTGTGTGTATTTTCTACAGATAAAGAAGTGCTAGTGTTTTCTTGTTCCTTCTAGTGTTTTACATGTTATTTTTGTACGATTCTTCAGTTATTTTTATTGGTATGTTAACATTGTTTCTAAGAACTGTCTTATGCATGGTTTCTGTTTGTTTTGTTGTCACTCTTCAGTTTGTATGTTCCTCTGAAATCTATGAAAAAATAGAAGATTTCAAACTCTTTGCAGAAAACTTCACGTGCTACGATCATAGTTGTCAATTAAATATTTGCTAGGCAACTTGTCTGGAGTTTTTCCTTCTGTCAGAATAATCCAGACATCCTTTTTTCTCCCCCAAAATCAATGTGAGCACAAAGCAGATTGAAAAAAAACCTAGCTGGGGAAAAAAGAGAAAATGAAGCATTTTGCACTGGAGATGATCAGCATGAATTTCAGTAGTTAGTGAGGTCTTAATTAAGAGCCACTTCACCTTAAATGAACATTCCAACCTTTTTTCCCAATTTCTTTTTTCTGTTGTTACTGAAAGTAAATAATTCATAATAGTATATTTTTAGGTTGAACAGTCACTGTGAGAGAATTTCATTTAACTTCCTGCATTAAAATTTCTCAGATAATTTCATACAGTTATCCAGATGCTAAGCCCAGTATGCTGTGCATGATTACTACTCTTATGAGGAAGAATTAAGTTAGAAAGTTTTTAAAGGATTTGAACACAAAATTAGGCATCTGAAAATTCTTGAGTTTGAAAGTGATAATATTTATAAAACTTTTTTTCCAAATAGCTGGCGTGAACGACATGGTAAATTTCCAGTAGAATACATACAACCACGTTAGGGGTAGAATAATGCAGCATGGTGAGCTTTTGAGCACGTTTAGTTGTTTACCCACTGAGGACTGCGTAGTCACTTCAGACTGTGGATTCACCAGTTCATCCATGTCACATGCTTTATGGAAGAGTTTCCTGTATTGTTGGCAGTCACTTATGTTCTAAGCTTTAAAAATAATTAATATCTAGTATATGCGCGGTCAAAACAAATAAGCATGTTGTTTTGTGTAAGGTTGCCTTTATTGAACTGGAGTGTTTGTGATGTATTTGCTAAGCTCCATGTAGAAATTCTTTGTCTTGGTATTAGATAAAACTCAGTGTAGTGAGAGTGAAACAGAGTATGGAATAACATGGTTAAGTTGGCATTGATTCTATTACCTTTCAGTTCCAAGTACCACACTAGAGAACTTTCTCTGTAAAGTTCTACATGTTTCTTCAGTGCAGTACGTTATATAGTTTCTAGTCAGGAATGTTATACTTCATGCAATTAAAATTCTTTTCTGTTAGTATTAAATAGGTTAATATCTAGCTATAGTTTTACTGCATCTTAATGCCTTAGCTGTACACAAGTGACTTTTTTCGAAATGATACAGTCATCTTTGTGTTGAAATTTAGTTACTATTTATTTTATGCTTGTGAAAAGCTATTGCTGTTGATATGCTGGAGCTGTATTATGTGCTGTGATAATATATCTTTAATTTTATTTGTATCACATTTTTCCACGTTACACAATATCTGTATTCTTTTCATTTTCAGGAAATCTGAACGTTACTCTTCAAGTGTGGGATGTAGGGGGACAAACGATAGGAGGCAAAATGCTGGATAAATATATATATGGAGCCCAGGTACAGTATAAATGATGATACTTGTATGTATAGTAATTATATAAAATTCACTGAAACTTTGTGCTTTAAGTTATACATATCGTATAGGTGGTTGTTTTGTAATCTCAAAAATGTTGAATCTCTGCTTAACCTAAACTTAACTGATATTAATACGCAATCTAATTTTGGTATGTGGTGATTTTTTTTAGAGCTGACTTAAAAACCAAAGCAAGAATGCACATTTGTAGATCTGGATAGCTCTCAAGAACAGATGTATGTTTCCATGCTTTGTGCCTTGAGTTAAGAAAAGCAATCATAGTAAATAGTAAAGGCTATTTGGATATCCATATGGTAGATGTAGTGGCTGCTCTTTGAACAGATGCCTCCTGGGGGGAAAAAGTAAAAGGAGGAAATTAAGAGCAATCCTACACCATTAAACTCATACATGCAACTGGGGTTATAAGAGGGCAAACAAAAGGAGGCAATGAGGTAGCTAAATAGTTTTGCAGAGCTCCTATCCTATGAAAATTTATTTTATCTTGAGGTTAACTGAGTAACTTAAAGTGTATGGTAGGATTAAGTAAGAGCTAAATATTAGAACCGTATCTTGAGCTGTGAGATTGTTTAGGTGGATGTACTATATGCCAAACTTCTTAACATGAGTGATCCTAAAATGTACTCTGTTCTTTAATTTGGAGTTTGTAATAAGAACAATAGCCATAGCATGTTGTTTATTATATAATGCTACATTTATCTGAAGAGAAAACAAATGCACCTATTTTTCCCCTAATACTTTAAGCCATAGGAATATGGAATCCTAAAACTTTTATTGGACAGAAATTTTGTACTGAGAAGTACAGCACAGGAATGGCTAATTAAGGAGATTAGGGTTTATTAGTTAATGGGGTAAAGACAAACTTATTAATTTAACATGTTGTCAATTTCAAAAAATGTCTGAATGTTTTTAGCTGTTGCATCTGTTTTACAGCATTTTCTTATTTTTTTAATAAAAAACATTTTGCTGCCCTGTTAAAGATGTACCAAGCAACAGGAGAAAGTGGCTTCCGTGACAGAGGGAATTTGATTAATCACAAATTGTTGCCATATGCCCAAAGTAAACTCAATGAAGGAAATAAACGGCTATTAACTTTTTCTGTATTCAACTTGGTGGTAAACTTAGGAGTTTCTTATCAGCAGTAACAGGTCAAAAAGTTAATACCAGTGCCCCAAAGTAGTGAAAAAGTCACAGAATCACAGAATAGTAGGGGTTGGAAGGGACCTCTGTGGGTCATCTAGTCCAACCCTC